GAATGAAAATCTGTTAGGGAGACTCATTCGACGCAAACTCAAGCAGAGAAACTTGGTCACCATTTCATTCATATGAATACCACAAAAAAAGGCTAGAAAACTGTAAACAGTCTACAAATTTGCTAGTCGACAAAACTGAATAAAGAAAATGTCACACTGAACTCAATAAATTTGTAAACTCCATACACAGAACAAACATATCCATGCTAATGTGCCCATGAGTGTGGTAACATGCATCATGATAAAATCCAGCCATTGCTCATGTCTTTGAGTCATCAATTGAGACATGCACATCGCATGTATAAATTTTAATACAGTGATTAATTGCCAATAATGACCAAGACCAAATGCGCCTAGGTAGCCTGTCTACCAGTCTTCCACCTTACCAACTCTGAAAGCATTTCAGATTTTGGCCCATAGCAAATTTTAAGGGAACTTGGAAAAGAGCACCGCTTTGGACATGGCATTGAGCTATTTGAGTGAAGAACATAATTGGCTGAGCAAAACAGTGAAGCAGCGTAGGAGCACAAATGCCAATTCAAGAAAAATAACTAAAACATAGGATGTATGCTCCAAAACATAATAAGAGAAAATGTGAATCCAAGTTCTAAAAGCATTTCAAAATTCACCATCTTGTAAGGTCCAAGTGCTAAACTTGTTCAACTGGCCATTTATCCTCGAATACATTGATATTACAGCAATATGATTAAAATAATTGTTGCAGCATGGAGAAGACTTAAATGTCAAGTGCATAATAATGCAAAGGTAGATCCAAACTTCACATTGAAATGATCATCTCAAACATGTGGATTTAAATGATAGATGAATATCTTGAGCCCCTCAATTCCCTCATCCTCAATATTCTTGACCGAGTCTTCAGTAGATTGTCCACACCAGTGTACTTCAATTGTCTCAATATTTCTTAAAAAGTAATGGGACTTCCTCAAGGTCCCTACAACCTCTAAGTACCAGATAGTGAAGGTTGGGAAGGTGATCATTACTGGCATTCCATTGGACTTCCTTTGCTTTTGAAAGGCACAAATGACGAAGCAAATCATGAACATGGCATGTATTGCCCCTTCCATTAGATCTCCTTTTTGAATCATACTAGGATGCAATCAACTAGATCCATCAAGAATCCTCTGCAGCATCGTCTGAGCACTTCAACTCAGTCATTTGTACAAAACACTCAGCAACCCATAACCATGTCAACTTGCTAATCAGAATATCTGTCTTCCCGAAATGCACCCAGATAGAGAAAGCATGTTCCTAAGTGTGCTGGCAGGTGATGGTAGCTCAACTGCAATATCTCCTTGCACCAAAACACTGGATTTTCAACAACCAGCGAGCTTAAATTGTCTGCAACTTCCTTCCACTTGTTCTCTTGCTTTTCTGTTTTTTTGAGGAAACCAGGTATTGCAATAATTGCAAGTGGTAGTCCTTTACAATTTTCAGCAATTTTCTTTCCAAATCCCAACAGTTCATCAGGACAATTCCTATCAGGAAATGTTCTCATCTGCCACAGTTTCCAACTTTCTCATGAGACAGTATAAGAGAATGAGGGACAGTATCAAATTCAGCTATTGCAGCCAAGTCATGGAGACGACTCATAATCAAAATTCTACTTCCATGTCAATCGTCTGGTAGTGAACCTTCCAAGTCCATCAACACAGCAATATTCCAGACATCATCCATAAGTTTGGTTCGCCATATCGGCTGATACCGATACGTATCGGTCGAGTTGTAACTGGAATGGAGGGGACCAGTTCAATACCGATTCCCAAATCACGGATATTATCATATCCGTGACGACTCACTCTGAGTCGGCCGATATTGACCAATTCGAATCTGTGATGCATGATATCGGCCGATATATCCGAGTCAACTCGGATATTTTTTCAAATTGTGCCTTTTTTGATATTTTTTCATTTTAGTAATTTTTTCAAAATTTTTGGAAACTTTCATGTTTTATAATATGCATATTACCCGATATTCAACCGATATGCCGCGATGGATGTGGAACAATCGAGACCGCGACGCGACTGCGACCCCCTATGGTGAACCATGTCCATAACTATGAGATATGCACCACGCTTCAACTGCTGATATAGCTGTAATGCTAAATCCTCATCATCCATTTGACAAATATTATCACTAGGCACTCTAATGTTGCTCAAAATTTTAAGCAACAATTCCCTCTTTTTATATTCTTGGAAGACTGGGCAGCAACCATGAGCATGAAAGTGATTTGCAACTCTAGGATGATTGTATAAATTCTTAGCGAGAGTTGTCTTTCCCATCCCTGTCATGCCAACAATGGAAACAATATCAAGTCGCGAAGATCCTCAAGTAAGTCATTTAATTATAAACAATCCTTGATCAACTTATAGCCTGCTCGTATTTGGCAGATTACGGCTTGAAGCGTTGGCAGCAGTCTGAACTGGTCTACTCCTCACCAATTTTGGTGGCCTGGATCTTAACAAGTCTAATATCTTCTTCTAGGAGGTAATAAAAACATAAGAAATATCGCCAATTAGAAGCTCTCCCAACCTCAATGCAGTCGATTGTATATTCCACCTTATATGCGATATCTATAACAGCTTCACCATCGTCCTTCAATTTTGAATGCTCAGCCACAAGCAAAGATCTTAAAAGTTCTTAGTTCTAAAAAAATCTGATTGATGTAATGCGTCATTGGTGCCACTGACTCAGGTTTACGATTCAGCAGCTTCTCCATGTTTCCCAAGAGAAAAGCATGGAAGCCCATCAAACCTCTCAGAAATTTAATAATGCACAAAATGGAAGACAAGTAATTATTTACACTTATAATTGATAAACAACCAAAAAATATATGATCCTGATACTTAAGGGAATGAACACTGATCCTAGTCCTATGATCCATCCAAACGAGACAATGTGACATGAGACTCAAGGGAATGAATACTGATATTAATCCTACATTGTACAATATATCCATCCTTGAAGCTTGAAACTTCAACTATAGCTAGTGAAAACGTTTAATTTGGTATAGCTTTAAGAAAATGCAAAAGTATTCAAGCTGCATTCATGGAAGACAATTTCTGGTTTTCAATTTAAGCTGCACAAGTTTTACCATTTTCCAACAGCTTGTGCTCTTGCTAATGGTGCATCACATTGGCTTGCAGAGGTAGATGATGGTTTCAACTTTCAACTGTATCATTGCCTTTGATATTTCCAGTGAAGAATTCGAGAACTTGGCCCACTTATGGGGAAGGTAATTTTCAGCAAAATTGAGCATCTTAAATTGTTGCCTTTCTTTACTTTATTGTTATATTTCAAGTGAAAGATATCATGTCAATTTATGGATCATGGATGAATTAATATGAAGTGGACAGAACTTGGACTAAGTTAAAATCTCATTTGAAATTCCCGACATTTGGTGTTGAAGACCGATCATATATATGCTCAAACCAAAGCAGGTAACTGCTTTTGCAGATTGATGGAACAGAAACGCTTGTGCTCTATGATCTTGGAGCCGGATACTTTAGAGACGTAGCTACTGCAAATGGTGCAGCTAGTTTCGTTAGATGTGAGTCTATTGGTCACTGGCATGAAAATGCCTTCTTGCATGTCTTCATGCACCAATTTCGAACTTGTGTAGCACTACATTTACCTCTTCTGGTTGCCATTCTCTGTTCTTAACTAAAAGCTCATTTCTCCAATTTCTTATTCAAATTTAATTACAATTGAAGATGTCCGTTTGTTGTGAGTGCAATCATCCTAATCCAGAACCCTCTATCAGTTACAAGTTCAAGCTGCAAGCCATTTCACTTTATCCATTTGCCATCTTGCACAGGGATTAAATTCATGTTGAGTATGTTCATACTTTCTGCACTAATGGCAGAAAATACATCAAACAAATATGACACAGATACGTATAGATCTGAAATCAATATATATAACAGGTCTAAAAAAACAATACAAATAACGATAAATATTGATGCTCCTTTATATCTTTCATCCAGATGAATCACTATAGCCCAATACATCAGTGTATGTCTGATGACAATCAGATCTAATTAAAACTAGTTCAAGTCCAAAGTAAGTCCATACCTAAAATACATAACTTAGATGTTGTAAACTCTTGTTTTTTTTGCAAAGAACATCACATTCATTGTCACCAACTCATTTTTAGATAACAAACAAACTGAAAAAAGACAAGGAAAGAGGCTAAAACTAACTTGGAGAAATTAAAGGAAGCAAAATTGCATGTTCAATTAGTGGGATACAGAAAAGCAAAGGATGAAGGAAAGCAAATGCATAAATCACTTGTACACAGCCTAATTTTGCATAACAGACAGTCTGTATATAAACATGACATTTGGGAAATTGTTAACAGTTTTTCCGTATAATATTTTTGTGTGTATAACACAAGAATAGCACATGACATTTGTGCGTGTATAATGTAATTAAACATGACATTTGTGTGTGTAATTAAATGAAGAGGTGGTCAAATTTTTGGCCCACTAATTTGTCCTTTGGCTCAGAATTTTTTTTTTTTTTGAATATTAACGGTTTTAATAGTTTTTTTATTTTGTCAAATGTCAACTTCTATATATTTAACGGTTTTAATAGTCAAGTAACCAACTCCTATATGTATGTAGTCAGTTTTTTATTGCTAGAGAAGTATAACAGTTGTTGGTTGTTGCTAGCTAGCATGTAATTAGCGTCCCATTGTTTTGTACATTCACATGTCACGTTTGCAAGAAGATAGAGTGCAATATAATTGACATTTTTGAGCCAATCAAACAAAATACCTATTTCATAATAAATAAAATTAGAGCACAGTGATGAATAGGATCGTATTGACAGAGATTGGGATGATTTATTTCTTCCAAAGCAATGAATAGAAAGGGGAGATTTTGGAGATTAAACCAACTGATTAATTTAAACACATACAAAAATTAAGTAAAATTAAATTAATAATAATGAAGCTCTAGCCAAAGGAATAATTTCCAAAATGATTCGTACAATTTTCAGATGGCTTTCATTACAATTTTCGCAACAAAGCATAAGAATTAGACACGAACAAACCACCTTGGCTGTGCCAGTTTAGCATCAAACTATATTTACAGCCCTTGACCATTTCAGATCTATATCAAATGGCACAAGACAGAAATTTTGACAGCATTGAGCATCAACTTCTTATATAGACAATGACTATCAGGCTATCTTCCAGATAACTTTCCTTTCCACTGCCCATTACCGACCCACCCCCCCACAAACAAACAAAAAAAACCGGCAAAAGATGAGAGAGAGTGAACAAGTAGATGCTGCACAAACATCTTTCATAGCCAGTCCTAGAAGAGCAGAAGTTACGTGGATAATGCACAACTAGTACCGGCAACTTATAATCAATGATGTAGTTCGCCTTCTGAAGTGTTAGAAAACGACTTGTACAACAAACTTATCAACGCACCAAAGCAGAATCATGGTAGAGGCATCATGGCATCATTAAACGTTAGTTTCACTTTCAGGCATCATTTGTCATAGCCATTTGCTGAGAGGTAGAGACCACTTTCCTGAGCTCACCCGTCCCATTCCAACAAGTATATATTAATGGATACTTCATCAAGATATTCATCCAGTTGGTAGTATTCCTGCTTTTTGCTCATTTCCATTTTGCTCTAGCTGCCAGTTGATCTACGAGCCAGAAGTTGGGATATTTTTCTCGTCCATCTATTTCATTGTATTTTTTTCCCTTCTTGAAAGATCTTCTCTTCCCACTTTGATCAGCAACCAACAAATATTGGACCTGGAAAAATTTGAAGTGTTGATACTGCTTATTCTTTCAAAAATGCAACAGAATCGCTCCTAGGATAAATCACAACAGAGGTGCTTAAATTAAAGTGCAGTGATTAAATCAAAATGCTGCTTACATGATTTCAACAGATGTGCCCAAGCCAAAGAAACTGATTCTAAATTAGAATCATATTGATAGATTTGAGCCACCTGTTGAAGATGCAGCTTATCAACTAATTGCAAATGGGACGTCAGAATGCATGCTAAGTCGGATGAAGAACATAGTAACAGTCTATATACTTAAAATTTTCTGGTACAACATCCTTTCATCTAGCTTGAAATTCCTCCAACCCCAGGAACTTTCAGCATCTTTTCGGTTAATCAGTGAGATGGGAAAACAACAATCCATGAAAAATATCTTCAAGCAAATTATTATTAAAGATTAAGTACACAGAAAATAGTACCTGTTAGAACCAGATTCTCATGTTTGCCAAGCTGTCATTAACTATATACACATATTCTACCCAACAAGGTTGCAAAAGCAAACAGCATTCTTTGCATTAAAAAAAAGGGCAAATTACATTTTACCCCCTTGTGGTTTACCCTTTTTTACATAACCCCCCTATGGTTTCAAAAGCTATACATAACCCCCTCATGATTTGGATTAAAGTGTCAAAGTGACGGAAATAGTCACTCGTAACGGAACTTCTAAAAATGTCAAAATCACCCTTATAAATACATGACACATTAACCCCGTATACTTTTTATATTTTACCATATAACCCCCTTATGGTTTAGTATTTTACCATATTACCCCCTTATGATTTTCAAAATATACACATAACCCCCCTTGGTTAATAAATAATTTTTAACTTTACATAAGGGTAATTTTGACATTTTAGATGACACCGTTACGAATAATAATTTCCTGGTCAGCTGGTTTTGAGGATCATACCAATCTGTAGCCAGATTGAAGAGGATTTTAGAAATTAGATAGTTTTGATTTCATAAACACATGACCATTCAAACCAAAGAATTGAAAACCTCCAGAAGTTGGTTTGTGAAATATGAATGATTATATCATTCAACTGATCCAACATATACAATTAGTCCTATGGGAGTGGATCTAACCTCATGAGTGGAATTCTTCTCTTCTTTGACTCCTTTTCTGAGTAGATCTAATAATAACGCTCTTTAAGTCCTTGTTTCCCCATTCTCTCTGTTCTTCCAGAATTCGCTCCACAGAATTTACAGCAGACTCACTACACCATTTCACCTCAATCGTTTTAAGAGTGAGGCTTTCCCCTAAACAAGGAGGGACCTCTTCCAGCTCCTCACAAAACTCCAAAACCAATTTCTCAAGACAGGAAAAATTATCAGAAGAGGCAGTCCACCTACGAATGTACAACCCTGACAGTTTCAAAAATCGGAGGTTACAGAATTCCCCTTCTTCCATCTCCCATTCTTCCTCCCGAACGGAACGATGGCATAATTTGAGCACTACAAGGTTGGGCAGATTTTTTCCAATTGCTGAAATTTTTCCCCACGGCCAATAATTATACGAGAGAGTCAACTTTTTCAAATTCAAATTCAATGAGAATTCAAACTCATCTCCGCTAATCCTGCTTATCTTAAGTGATTCTAGTCGACTCATGTAGTTCAGCACGAGAATCTCCTTGCGATTTCCACCAGATCTGAGTGCTTGGTAACTTTCGTATGTCATCCTTTGGATTCCATATGTTATTGTTAGCCTGCGGGTGCTCTGTAACTTTGATAGTATCTTTTGTGCATTTTGAGAAGAGCGATGGATTGCAAGGCTTAAAGTGTCTAAATGTTTTAAATCAGGGGAGCCTTCAAGATTGTCCATGGGAAATATGAAACCACAGTCGGACAATGATGTGACAAGATACCTCAATGTTTCAATGCTCCAGATAGTGTTTGGCAACAGATAATTTCCACGGCGTGCTTCTACTACAAAAGTTTCTAACCTTGAGAGGTTGGCTATTGCAGATGGGATATCCCCAACAAAACGTCCAATTCTCAAGTACCTCAAGTGAATAAGGAATACTACTTCCCTTGGAAAAGATGAAATCCAATAAGGAGTGTTCCAGAAATCCAGCACTCTAAGAAGTTTAGACAGCAGAAATTTGGATGAATTCTTATCCAGCTGTGTATAACTATCACCACAGAAGAGCAAAGAACGCAAATTGGGAAAAAACAGCCTTGATTTTGTAAGCCCCATAGTCATGGTAGGGTGAATAGACAATCGATGGGGCTTGCATGGTCCGGTAAAAGTTAAAAGGTTATCCACATGTAAAATCTGTAGAAAACTTTCTTCTTCAGCTTTCGCCACGCAAAACTCATGTACCAAATCATGGATTCGGCAAGCTTTGATCCCACCTAAAGATCTTTGTTGGGCAGCCATAACTAAACTTCTCCCAATCAGATCCATCAAATATTCATCTGCCACATCCTCTAAACTCTTTCCTTCAGTCTTTTGCACGAATCCTTCCGAGATCCAAATCCATAACAACCTTCGGATAGGAATTTCTTGGTCTTCTTGAAATGCACCGAAGTAAAGAAGGCATGGCTTCAAATAATCCGGTAAATTATTGAAACTTAGCTCAATAGTCTTCATGCAATATTCATTGTCAACAAAAATGCTAGAAGTTAAATGTATTACAACTTCTTCCCAGCAATCTTGCTCGGTAGTAGCAAGAATTCCGGCAACAAGGACAACTGTGAGAGGCAGGCCTTTACAGTATTTTGCTGCGTCCAGTAAAACATTACTTAATATTGGAGGACAATCTTCTTTGGAAAATAGCTTTTTCTGCAGCAATTCGCAGCTCTCATTATCTGTAAGCGGGCGAAGATGGTGAGGCTCGCTATCAAGTTTAATTTGCAATGGCAATTCCTGAAATCTGCTGGTTAAGAGAATCCTGCTTCCATTGCAATCATCTGGCAGTGAGAGTTTCAATAAATCCCACCCCAGAATGTCCCAAACATCATCCAAAACTATGAGATACCTATTTCCCTTCAACAATTTGCGTAGCCTGTCAGCCATATAATCTTCATCTTTCCGAATATATCCAGCTGAGTTCCCATGATCAATATTACACAACATTTGAACTAACAAACTATGCTTGGTATATGCTCGAGAAAAACAACACCAAGAACGAATGTGAAAGTGGGACTTTACCAAAGGATCACCATAAACTTTATTGGCTAATGTTGTCTTACCAAGACCAGGCATACCCACAATGGCAACAATATCCAACCGGCTTGGTCCCCTTACAAGTCCATCAATTATAATTTCCCCCTCGTCATTGAGACCCACCACAGCTTCATTAGATATTGGAGCAGTAACTTGTGATGGCATGGGAATGGTAGTCTTAACAATACTCTGGGTTTCATAGTCAAATCGTATGCTATCATAAATCTTTTTGGCCTCAATCTTCATAAGCTTGACATCTCCAGCAATAACATCCAAACAATGTTGATGTTTTCCACCAGGTAGTGTAGAGTCAATGATTATCTCTGCCCTGTATGCCAGCTCAATAATACGACTCCACAGAGCTTGGAGTTTTTCATTCCGCTTTCACTGCTCTGCAATCTTGCCTAGGAAAGGTCTTAAGAAATCAAGATCTTCACGAACTGTGTGGATTTGATTATTTGGGAAAGCAATTGAATTAGCTGTAGAATTTTCCAGTTCCTTGAGAGTTTCTAAAAGAAAATCAATAGAGCCCAGCTCATTAGTCCTAGGGAAACTAATTGATGATGATGGTGGTTGTAGTGGACAAATCTGTTCAATTTCTGGAATAATGAGCTTGAGCAGTTCGAGCGAATGAGAAGCCACAAGATCTATTTCCTTGGGCAAGCTTTCTGTCATTTCACTCTTATAAAGGGAGAAAATCACAATTCCAGCATCACAGACCACAAATCCAATAAGATCCTTCATTTCATCATTTAGCTCATCGAACTTCTCGTGCTGCTGGCTGAGAAGGACACTCAGGAATCTTGCTCCCTCATAGAGTTTTAGTAATTGATCCTTCACCGGAAGCAAGAAACTGGTGTAAGATTCTGTTAGCTCCATAATAATATGTAAAAGATGATCAATAAATTCGGCCACTAGGTGCTTATTCTTCTCCAGGGCTAAAGTGTGTGATGATGGTGACAACTTGGAAGCTGTCAAGACGTGGATATAAGTTTCTCGGACTTGGAGATCAACGGGATCAATCTTCTTTTGTATCAGTTGAGAAATTTCAGATTCCATCTCATTGCACACCCGTTCATCATTTCTCTGAAACCAAGATGTAGAGATCAGGCTTGCAGCATTAATGGCCACAACTTCAATGTGAACTAACAGATCTACTAATTGCTGACCCTTAACACCTTGTAGTGTTGCAAAGCAAATGAAACTCTTCAAGAACATTAGCTTCTCTTGAAGGGTTCCCATTACACTTTGCAGAGCTGCATCATCCCTGTAATTTCTGGTGCAAAGACGCCTCAGATTCTCTAAAATGGAATCGATGATATCCATAACCAGTTGTGAATCTCCCAGCAAGTAGTAATGCAATAAACTAACGATGTTTAATTCCTTGATATCTGAATCAAAAATCAACCGAATATTGCCCTCGAATCTGTCGAGCTGGCATTTGAAGTCATCAGGCGATCTACGTCTACCGAACTGTCAGACTCAGCATCACCCCTGTCCTCCTTATCATATTCCAAACACATACACTCTTTGCTTCTCTTCCTCCTAAAATTTCTAATATACAGATCAAAGGTTTCCAATAGACTTATCCCCATGTTCAGCTCCCAGATATGAGATTTGAACAGACCTTTGTACCTAGAGTCTAAGTAGTCCAGATGATTACGAGCAACATCGAAGCAACTAGTGCTGCTGCTGGAGGAGATGTTCCTCATGGTACCTGCTTTTCACTCAGAAATGAGATTTCTGCCTATTGTAGCCATTGATATTCAAGATCAACAACTTTCTTATTATCTAACAATATTCACAGTTTGCCATCAGGACTCTATCTCTCTGTTTTTTTTTCCCTTTTTTCTTTTTTGCGTGTGGCAGGGTGGTGCTAAAATATTGCAAGACTTTACCCTCTTCCTCTTGAGTCTTTGTCAAGGGAAGTTCGCATCGATACAACAGGCATAAGCTGTTGGGGTCCCCATATCAAAGATTAAAGCATTAGAGACGCATTCAGCTGAGGCCTGATGGCTATGTAATTTGCCACAACCTTTTTTACCGCAACAATATTTTTTACCACAAAACGTGAAAGGCAAAAAAATAGATGAAAGAAAATCAATCTATACTACTGTAGTTTCAATCAAATGCGAATATGGCCAGCACTAAAAATGAACAAAATGAGAAATATCAATTAGATTAGCAGTCAGATAAACAATAGAAAAATCAGAAGAAAATGATCCATGGCTATTGTTTAAGAATGTATAACTAAATGCATTTAAGGATTTAGAGACAATTGTTTTAATTGCCAATGTATGTGAGTGCTGATGCTTTAATGCTTCTTTTTTTTAATTTGGCAACTTCTCCAAATTTAAAAAGTTGTATAATAAGAATAACAATTTTACTCCTTTTCCTGTGTGAGATAACTTGAGCCTGTAAACCATCTAAATCATTTTTTCTTTTTTTGGTTTTCTACATGCACCGAGAAATAATAATAACCTACAAGTACGAAAAATCTTGTGAAGTGAAGACAAATATTAATAGGGCAAATTATACTTTACCCTCCTGTAATTTAGTTTTTTTTTACATAACCCTCCTATGGTTTAAAAAGTTATATATAACCCTCTCATAATTTGAATTAAAGTGTCAAAGTGACGGAAATGATCATTGTAATGGAATCACATAAAATATCAAAAATACCCTTATGTAAAGTTAAAAATTATTTATTAACCAAGGGGGTTATGTGTATATTTTAAAAATCATAAGATTGTTATACGGTAAAATATTAAATAATAAAGGGATTATATGGTAAAACATAAAAACTATATGGGGTTAGTGTGTCATGTATTTATAAGGTAATTTCGATATTTTTAAAAGTTACGAATGACTATTTCGGTTATTTTGACATTTTAATTCAAATCATGACAGCGTTATGTATAGTTTTTAAATCATAGAGGGGTTATGTAGAAAAACACTAAATCACGTGAGGGTAAAGTATAATTGGCCCATATTAATATCATAGTTACTCATCATATCATATCACATGAAATTCAGTCACATAATTGCTTCACCTAAAATCGATAGGTCACGGGTTCAAATCATCATGGGATTAAGTGAGACACCACTATTAAATCCTCTTTTAAAAAAAAAAAAAAACTTCAGTACTTTTAGCACTGTATGTATTCAAATCAAAATTTAATTTATCTAATGCTGAGTCAAATAAAAAAGCTGAAATTTCCTCCTATTACGTCCCAGGCATAAGTGAAGCGATGATATGCGAGTATGAAGTGTCAAGAACACATGGAAGCCGTGTACATTTCAACCACAAAATAATGTGTGGAAAAAAGAAAAGAAAAAGAAATTCAGCACTTACTTTGGAGAGAATGAACGCTATGGCAACAAGTGATCTGTTGAATCTGCAGAAATTTCATTTATATGGTGAAGCCACGTTTAAAAAGAAAAACTTTAAACTTAAAAAAAAAAAAACGAAATTCAGCACTCACTTGAGAGAAAATGAAATCCCTGGCAATAGCTGGTGATCTAGTGAATATGCAAAAAAATTCCCAGTATATCTTGCACCTACTCACTCAAAATTAAGTTCAAGAAAAAGAAGAACACTCCGAGGAAGATGAATGATTTCAACCAAAATGAAAGAACTCGAACATGCAAGACTTTTTGCAGTGAGCTGGTCCAAAGTCAATGTAACGGACATAGTAGTCCTAGTAGCGGTAGGTTAGGACCTATGTTTTCAGAACCGGACCAGATAGTGACTCGGCCGAGGTCAGGGGTCAGGGGTCAATGAGTTCGACCGGGGGTCGATAGGGGTCGAATCGGATGACATCATAAATAAAAATTATTTAAAAATTAAAATATTATATATATAATATCTAATAATATATTGATATTAATAAAGGTATATTCATATATATTTGATGTTTCAAATATATTTAACAAGAAAATACAAAGAAATTAGAACAATCAAGTAGCAATTTATATTATTTAATAAATATTTACAAGTTTAGAATTCAAATTATGAATTTAATTGAATAATAACATCAAATTTTAGGACAATATTTATAAAGTATTAAATATTTGAGGTATATCAACAAGTTTTAACAATTTAGGGGGTCAAAACATAATATTAAAAAGTTTGAATTTTTTTTTTTAAAAATTACTGTTGAACCGGAAAAATCGATTTTTTTCAGGTCAAACCCGATTTTTGACCGGTTTTGACCGGATTTTAAATTTTCGATTTTTTAATATGACTCGGACCGGCTATCTGACCGGTTTTCGGTTCGACCGACCGATCCGGTCCGAGTTTGAAAACAGAGGTTAGGACTCACTATTTTTATTATAAGGAACTCTCTTTGATTTTTGAGTGTGTGGTGGGGAGGGATGGTGGGCGTGAAACCTTATCCTGACAAGATGCTGTGTTAATCAAGAATTTGGCAAGTGCGGTAGAAGACTTTGACGTGTGTGGTAGAATACCGTGTTTGCTATAAAATTTTCCTTTGCATACTTTATGTAATTATTGGTCACTCTAAGGTGGAACATGCATGCTATATCAGCGGGCTCAGATTTCACGAGAACTGTCGACGGATATTGAGTTAATCAATCTCAGAAATTAGTATATTTGGTGTAAGTTCGTAGAGTTTTGATATAATTTTAAATTTTATACAAATTTAGTTATATGACGTGATAAATTTAAATTTACAGCCGATTTGGACGATTTTACACCAAAAGAGGAAAGAACTAGACCAATCGGTTGGATTGGACAAATTCCAGCTTATGAGACCTGTGATATATATATATATATATATATATATATATATATATATATATATATTTATATGAAGTATGGTTTGGCTAATTGTTACCTGTTGAATATTTGAAAGAGTGCTTAAATGCAAAACATATAATAATTGGGATTGTGTAACGAATATCCATGCCGATTGGAAAAACAAAACCATATAACTATAAATATAAATAAATAAATAAATGATTGACTATATATATATATATATATGTTTGTATGTATGTTTGTAGTAATATGTTTGGAAAAAAATCCGAATTCAAATTTATGCAACTTTCGTATGATCTAACAACTATAACACATTGCCATCAAGATTCTCTTCTTTTGCGTACACGCTACCTACAAGGATCTCTTTTTTGCTTGTGTGGTGGAGAGGGATGGTGGGGCATGGTACGCATAAATATCGCAAGAATTTTCCTTCTTCCACATGAAATTTTTTGTGTATGTGGTGGGGAGGGAAGATGGTGGGGCGTGGTACTAATAAATATTATAAGACTTTTCCTTCTTCCACTCGAAACTTTATCAAGAGAAGCTGTGTTAATCAAGGCTTACATGCGTGGTTGATGCGGTAGCAAAAGCATAAAAGTAGAAGGGGTTTCATGAACACCTTTCAAATGACAATCATTACACGAATGAAACCCAGCAATAAATCAAAGATTCATAAAAATAAGAGAAATTTCTCAATAATTTGATAAAACCAACAATATTTGAATTACTAGAAGGAAATTCTTTTTACAAAAGCCCTAAAGAAAATAATATGTAAACTTTTAAACAAATCAACTACGTATCTGGATGCATTTAGGATCCTCATTGACACATTTAGTACTAATACTAATATTATTAATTAAAAATAAATAAAAATATAGAAATCTACCCTAATTAGAATTCTAAATAAAGTATTAACAATATAGATGAAGAATTCCTGAACCCAGGGACCCTCTAAATATATTGGCAGTATAGATGAGGAATTTCTGAAACCAAGGTCCTCGTTGTGTATCAGTGGTAGAAGACTTCTGTGTGAGTAAGCAGACTATTTTTGCTCCTAAAATTTTTCCTTTGCATACTTCTTGTAGTATTACTGGTCACTATAAGATGGAACAAGCATACTATATTTTTCCTCTGTATACTTCAGTAGGCTTAGATTTGTTTTCCTCCTAAAATTTTTCCTTTGCATACTTCATGTAATATTACTGGTCACTCTAAGATGGAACCAGCATTCTATATCAGTAGGCTTAGATTTGTTTTTCTCATAATGACTCTTAGAAGGATAATCATATGTTGCCGCAATTTCGCAAAAACTGTTGACTGGCTACATGAGTATATGATGCATATTGAGTTAATCAATCTCAGAAATTTTGATGTACAAATGACTAGAAATTAAAGATGCATTCAGCTAAGGGACACTTTCTAAGACCCATGGCTGCCATTACACAAGTACAAATAGGGATCTTTTTGAAATATAGCATAGGTGAACAGAAAGTTCCATGAATTGGGAATGCATACGAAAAAATGAAGAAATCATAGATGATAACTCATTTTCTCATTTCGAGTACTTGACTCTTGAATTGAGACCATTCCGCTATTAATCTATGTTCTTGGCAGGCATTGTTTTACAGTGGTAGCACCTGGGACAAGGAGCATCACATCACATAAAAAAAAATAATGAACATTGTATCATTGGTACAAAATATTTTTCAAGAATTACTGTCGCGCCCCATTTTTCGCGATGGAAAAGAAAGTGTTTATAAAAAGATATGATTTATTAATAATAAATGAAAAAGGATCTAGAATGGAACTTAAAAAAAATGCGATAATTTGGGTCCAAAATTTAGTCTAAAAGGGTTTTGAAGAAAAATTAGAAGTCTCCACTTGGTATCGAGTTTGGGTGTATCAAGTCACCCAAAAAGTGTTTTTAAATAAAATAAAATAAAACCCTTTTCGACAACTCCAGGTCTTTGAAAACAGAGAAAATGAGTTCGGGAGTCACGGTTGAAGAAAGGGAAGGCAAAGGTTCAATTATCTCAAACCTAAGGCACCCTTTCAACCTAGTCTAAGCTAGTTGCATGGTTTAGTCAAAATTTTCTTAATCTAACCCTTAAATTTATCACATTTGGATGTTTTCTACATGGATGCAAATCTAAATTTATAAAATATCGAAAGGGACAAAATATCCATTCAAGGATTTAATTGAAACAATCGCATTAATTGCGAAGGCCAAAATACTTCTTTGAAAGGGTCACGAGTATGCAAATGATGAAAAAAAGAAAAGTAAAGAAAAGAAATTAAATTATATACATAGATATAAGTAATCAAAGAAAAAAGGGAATGCAACATAAAGGGTATGGGAGGCAAAAACTTGTGACATAATTTTCTTATACAGGGATTAATGGAGTATTTAAACTAAAAAATTATAATCATCCATTTTCCATGTTTGAAAAATAATTCCCCTAATATGACCAAGCAAATGAACCTACTTATCATACAATTTCTTAAATGAAATGCAATTCTAAGTGATATGATTAACACATATTGAGAATAGGGGATAATATAATAGGGAATATCATGCAAATGAGAAAAGATTCTAAAAATGAAAATATGCCTGAAAATGTAGTGAATAGCACACAAAGATGAATCTAGCGCAAGACGACCTAAAAGGTCTAGTGTTGGACTAGCCAATTTCTAGAAATCCTTACTAACGTTGGACTAGCAAGTAAGCGGAGGGAGAAGCCACAACTAGCGTTGGACTAGTGTGGTGACGTCATGCATTAACAATTCATAGTGAAACAAATAAAGCATAAATGAAAACAAATAAACACATAAGAGCACGTAGCACATAACACGTAAACATAATATCTAGATGCCAAAATCCTAAGAAAAGCGGATAAAACACATAACATATAAACCACATAAACACGCAACCTATCTATTACATCGGAGAATCTAACTACAATCTAAAATGGAAAAGATATGATAAAATAAAATTAGCTATCCTATCTATTACATTTTTGAGATATTTAAATGCCTCTCGAATAATTATAAAAATTAACTAAACAAATATAGTATAAGAAAATTTAAATGAACATTTAAATCCAATAAATAAAACATATAAAAATACATAAACACATAGGAACACATAAGAGCACGTAATTGACATTGAAATAATAAAAATAGGGGTACCTCCCATTTGAAGTGGTGACTAAATGGAGTCAAATTGTCCTATTTATACTCACAATGAACAAAAGAATCATGACACCAATTTAATTGAAAAAAGTAATAATAATAATAAAAATTCACCTTAATATGTCAAACGTAAATAAATTTAAGAATATCTAAAAATTACAGGTTAAACATACTCAAAAATAGCATAATTAGCTATTAAAGAAGAGAAGCAATCATAATAAAGAGAGTCAAAATTCATCAGAGACTGAATTGCAAAAATTGAAAAACTTTTAGGGACAAAAATTATATTTTTCCAAAGTTCAGAGGTCAAAATTAATTAAAAGATAAAGTTCAAGGACCAAAGTGAAATTAATTTAAGGACCTAGGTGAAAGAAATTTAAAATGTTCTGGGCTACAGTAAAACTACTGCAAAGATCAGGGGCCAAAGTGCAAATCGTAACCAGATCTTCTTAAAAAAACAGGCCACTGGGCCATTCTCTATTTTTTCCGGGCCAAAGGCCATTCGGCCCAAACGAAAGTTCAAGCTAAAATACCCAGGCCAGCCCGTTTTGTTATAGCTCAAGCCCGACGAAAAAAATACATGGGCTCCAACCTCCTAGCCCAACCGAAACCCAAAAGAAATAAACACATATCCATTCCCAAAATCCAACCAAAAAATAACTCTTGGCCCATCAGAGAAATAAACATTAGCCCAATTCTTTTTTTTTCCTTTTTCCTTCCTTTTTTCTTTCTTCTTCTTTCTTCCCG